ATTAAAGTAGATTTATCAATTTAGTGTTCACAAAATTCATCAAGACTGGTGAAGGTGAATAATCAATTAATGAATGAAATTGTCTATAAAGTTTTCAATAGCACACTCTGATCAATGTATATGTTTTGGCATTGTGTAGACATAACTTCTTCAAACTCCTATAATACAATAAAATGTATATAATGCCTATTAAATAACACACAACATAGATTTATTGTGTCTGAAATATATTTTTAATTTTACAAGAATAAACACTCTATTTTTTCTCATTTCAAAAGAGTTCATCAGAGTTTGGAGTGTAAAACCTTTAATTTTATCATCAATAACCAAATATGTAGAGGAAATAGTTAACAGCCAAAATATGAATTCATTTTAAGCATAAAAAAGTTATTAACCTTGATGACCAATGGGAGAGCCAGTTTGATTTAATGAAAGTTCTGAGTTATTATTTATTCCAGTATATTTTAAGTTCTATTTTAATTACATTTAACAAATATATTTAATTTAAAACCACATAAATAACATTTCAGAAAACGGTCAAATTCCTTGGGGAGAGGGACAGATTCTTTACTGAATAGATAGAAGATATGAAATGAAAATCCAATAATTTAACTTTGAATCAATTGCTTACATTCTGTAAAATATGAGAGCTGAAGCCCATGTATGAAGCTTTCAAGTTCTGAAATCCTATTACAGCTTGAACTACAAGTGAATAGGTGATTCTTTAGTATCTGTTAATACTTGAAAATAGGTTTTTCCTTAAGGTACTTAAAATTCTCAAATTTGTTTATCAACCTTCTATCAAAGTAGCAAAGATGTTAACTTTATTATCAACACTTGTCTAAATAACAGCACATCTGGTTGGAAGTTGCCAGACATGGATCAATCTGATGAAAGGCTTTTCTCTTTGATTTCATCTTCATATTAGTTCCTTTCAGTTTTCAAGTTTAACTAAAGTTGGCTCTTACTAAAAAAAATATGATGTTTGTTGCAATATTCTTTATATATTGTTATACTGACACAATCAAAATTATATCTTCAAATATGTAGGGGCTTTAAAAAATAAGATCATAAAACTGATTATGTTTTAACCATGTTGAAAATGGTTTTTCTAAAACTCAATTGAAGATCTTGTACAACCCAGAGACCCTGCTTAGCTTTTCTAATTTGGAAGAAAAATAACATAATTCTTGCATTTCCTAATGTCATATGTCAGTGAATGGAAATAATAAAATTAATCTTAAAACTCCACTGTTTTTGTAATTGAAACCATAAAACAGTAATAGACAACAATACAATGGAAACTCAAACTGAAAAAAAGATGAAAGTTTCACTCTGATGGGCTGATGATACTTATAGTTATCCTGTTCCAAAGTGCTCTCCAAATGTCTGTTCACATCACTTATCACAAGAACAGTGACAAGGAGCAAGTATGCAATCTTCCCATGTGACTTGACTGTTACTTAGGTCAAGTGACCTAAGTACTTTAAAAGTACTGCGAGTCAAACTAACCTTTCAATATAGGTCCACACTATAAAAGAGATCTAGATTTTGGTCTGCTATCAAAAAATATTTCAATTTATTTCTAATTAGATTTCAAAGCCAAAGTAACTAAAATGTAGCTTATCTGGAAAAGTTTCAAAATTTTTCTGTTTAATGCTAGAACGGAAAGCATAAATAACTTTTTAAAAAGAAGCTAAAATGCAGAGCAACTGAACTGTAAGATTGCTTTTGATGTGCAGCACTTAAATATTTTTATCTTTGTGGATCATGTTAGAATTAATATGCTCAAATTGGGACAGATTGGAGAAGGCAATGGCAACCCACTCCAGTACTCTTGCCTGGAAAATCCCATGGATGGAGGAGCCTGAAGTCCATGGGGTCGCTAAGAGTCGGGCATGACTAATAAAGAGCATTTGGAAGTCTCCAGAAAATATCTTACATGATTATCTATTTATCAGCTACAATGGAAAATTCAGAAAACATGCCAGATTAAGGTCATTAATGTCAACCATTAAGGTCTCTGTTGCTTCCCTAAGATTCCTTGCTTATTTGAAGTAGCCTCCTATCTCCTTGTCCATGAAACAAAGTCAATAAATTAGAGTTCCTTAGTAGAAGGCCTCAGATAATCATTGATTCCCCTCACTTCTTCCACCCCAAAATTACACTGGATGAAACTATCTTACTCTAAAACAATGGTCTTTCATTCTTAGAAATATCCTATAAGCAAATGGACTAACAGCATGATTTTAGACTTAATCTTAATGAATGCAGCATGAAATATTTGCTATTGGAAGCATTATGAGTCTGCTATCATGAAATATTAATTTTTGTCTTTTTAGGTTTAAGTAAAACAAATCTATATATGTTTTGGGCTGAATATTTCCTCTTGCACTTTAGTGAAGGGTTTAAAGGTAACTCAATATTTTTCCCAAGGTACATTTTAAAAGACTTATTGTATAATTAAAATGAAAATCACTTAGTCTTTCTGTTCATAACAATGCCATTTGAAAAATCTACTGATCCACAAATTAAGGCTATCATGCTTTACCCTACAATGCAATTAAACAAAGTCTTCTAAAGAGAAAACAGAAAGAGCATCAATAAAACTAAATGTCAAATCAAACTGAAACAAAAGCCCTGAATTTTCATTTTGGATTTTTCCCAGAAGCTTTTAAATGGAAGAAAAAGGGAAGGGGAGGGGGAAGAATGAGCAAGAGAAAGAGAGAACATTAAGAAATCCTGATAACAGAGGCTGCCTTAAATTCTGCAGGGAAATGAGAATATGATATCCTCCTAAATTGGCACCATTTCAAATTGTGTTTCTGCAAGATTAATGAAATGAGAAGTGTTGTTTCAAGCTTCATGTCATGTCAGACAATATAAAACTAACATGCCCCTGAGTTAATCAGAATGGTCTATTCAGTGTAATCTCCAATCCAAAAGCTTCTTAGCAGGATGGAAAGCACTTCACCCTGTGCAGGGCTTTTTTTCTGGTTACAGTATTGACTTAATAGTAGAAGGAGTAAGCAGCTCTGGTGAATATGTATTGCACACATTTATTATTTTTAATCTACACACAATGTTTTGAATTTAGTTAAATGCTGAAATTTTCCAATAAAAAAGAATGTAGTATGCCCTCATTTTCAAAGTGAAAAAAAAAGTGTAATTATGCCTGTTACAGAGGTTATATTTTATACTTTTCATATTATGGGGTTACAAATCATTTCCTGTTATAGAAATGCAGTCAATTTGGGGGTAGAATTATGTAAGGGATTGAAACCATATATATTGTGGCAGATATGTATCCTAGTCATTAGTTATGTTTTATTATGATATATATTAACTCAATTCTTAGAATAACGTGAGTAAACACTTCCTAATGCTTGTTAGTCAGGGAGACCACATATGAAAGAACCTTCTCAGCTTCCAACTCAGTTCAATACAAAGATAGCTGTCAAATCCCTTCTTGACTCAAGTGCTTAAGGTCCCAAAGGTAGTCGCCGAGTTGCAGGGCTTATGAGCTGACGTCAGCCCTGCCCGTCAGCATCCCCCACGGAGTAAGCACTCACCTGGCACTCTCCCGTGGCATCATCACAGGATTCCGCGTGGCCGAAGCACTGACAGGGCTCACAGACTGGATGAAACTATCTTACTCTAAAACAATGGTCTTTCATTCTTAGAAATATCCTATAAGCAAATGGACTAACAGCATGATTTTAGACTTAATCTTAATGAATGCAGCATGAAATATTTGCTATTGGAAGCATTATGAGTCTGCTATCATGAAATATTAATTTTTGTCTTTTTAGGTTTAAGTAAAACAAATCTATATATGTTTTGGGCTGAATATTTCCTCTTGCACTTTAGTGAAGGGTTTAAAGGTAACTCAATATTTTTCCCAAGGTACATTTTAAAAGACTTATTGTATAATTAAAATGAAAATCACTTAGTCTTTCTGTTCATAACAATGCCATTTGAAAAATCTACTGATCCACAAATTAAGGCTATCATGCTTTACCCTACAATGCAATTAAACAAAGTCTTCTAAAGAGAAAACAGAAAGAGCATCAATAAAACTAAATGTCAAATCAAACTGAAACAAAAGCCCTGAATTTTCATTTTGGATTTTTCCCAGAAGCTTTTAAATGGAAGAAAAAGGGAAGGGGAGGGGGAAGAATGAGCAAGAGAAAGAGAGAACATTAAGAAATCCTGATAACAGAGGCTGCCTTAAATTCTGCAGGGAAATGAGAATATGATATCCTCCTAAATTGGCACCATTTCAAATTGTGTTTCTGCAAGATTAATGAAATGAGAAGTGTTGTTTCAAGCTTCATGTCATGTCAGACAATATAAAACTAACATGCCCCTGAGTTAATCAGAATGGTCTATTCAGTGTAATCTCCAATCCAAAAGCTTCTTAGCAGGATGGAAAGCACTTCACCCTGTGCAGGGCTTTTTTTCTGGTTACAGTATTGACTTAATAGTAGAAGGAGTAAGCAGCTCTGGTGAATATGTATTGCACACATTTATTATTTTTAATCTACACACAATGTTTTGAATTTAGTTAAATGCTGAAATTTTCCAATAAAAAAGAATGTAGTATGCCCTCATTTTCAAAGTGAAAAAAAAAGTGTAATTATGCCTGTTACAGAGGTTATATTTTATACTTTTCATATTATGGGGTTACAAATCATTTCCTGTTATAGAAATGCAGTCAATTTGGGGGTAGAATTATGTAAGGGATTGAAACCATATATATTGTGGCAGATATGTATCCTAGTCATTAGTTATGTTTTATTATGATATATATTAACTCAATTCTTAGAATAACGTGAGTAAACACTTCCTAATGCTTGTTAGTCAGGGAGACCACATATGAAAGAACCTTCTCAGCTTCCAACTCAGTTCAATACAAAGATAGCCGTCAAATCCCTTCTTGACTCAAGTGCTTAAGGTCCCAAAGGTAGTCGCCGAGTTGCAGGGCTTATGAGCTGACGTCAGCCCTGCCCGTCAGCATCCCCCACGGAGTAAGCACTCACCTGGCACTCTCCCGTGGCATCATCACAGGATTCCGCGTGGCCGAAGCACTGACAGGGCTCACAGACGCCACCAAAAATAGTGCCATTAACTCGTCTGTGCCTAGGCCAACAAGACTGAAAGGAAAACATGGTCCCAAGTTAGTCTCAGGGATTTTTTTTTTAAAGCTTACTTTTGTCTTTAGCAGATAAAGAAACATATTTCGGTAGCAAGCCCAGCAAATGTGCATGTCAAAGCCTTGCCATTATGGAGACAGGGCTACAGAGCTATTCCTCCTGACCTGGGGCTTCGTACTGACCTTAGTGTTATTGGCAGGTATGGGATTAGAGGAAGCATTAACTTGATGACTCTTCTGAAATAGCAAAATAAAGCAGAGATATAAAGAATTGAACCATGACAGTCTCAAAGTAAAAAGCACAGACAAGAAAACGGAAGAAAAAGTATTGAAAAAAAGCAGCCAACATAAATGGACTCTTCAGAACCTTAGCCTCCTAGAGCATTTAATGTCCTGTCCAAGGATTGTAGATTCTCCCGAATGTCTTCCCTTTCTCACATGCAAACTGCCCTTAACTCTGTCACTTTCAGAAAATCTTTGCAATCATTTGGAAAAAAGGTGGCACTCACTCTTACATTTGATCACCTACATGGCTGACTTCTACACATATATAATTTATATTTCTCATTCTCAACTTCTTCCATCCTATTATACTTTCTCAAATTTACACAAAATAGTTTATGATTTATTTACCATGCATTCCTTAGATATTTTATTCTATGGTTTTATTCTCCTAGAACTCTAGTTATAGCCATCATTCCTTTTTAAAGTGTAAAACACTTTCTCATCCAAAAATAGACTTCTGATTAGAAAAGGGGTATTTGGGTCACAGAGCATCTGTGTGTCAGTGCTGGGTTTCAGTTCACTGTCATGTTTAAGTATCCCTTCTGCGGGGGTCACTATCAACTGGACGGGGTACAAAATAAAGGGGGCAAACACTGCTGCCCTGCAGGAGCTTATGATCTCCCTCAAGTTAAAACTGCATCTTGTGGGTTATTTACTATATTTCTGGATGGTTAAGTACAACACAGTATATCATGAAAAGGCCTTTTTTTTCCTAGCTGAGAGTAGAAACAAGAGAGAAACCACTGAGGTAATAAAGAATATAGAATTGTGCTGTGTATTGTTGGAAACGTTCCTTCTGCCTCAGGATATGAGGATTCTTAAATTTGAACATCGATAGCAAAGACATAAAAAAAGGATGATCTGATACTCCATATCCTAAAGGAAAACAAAAGCAACTTTCTTCTTAATTTGGGCAGTATAGAAAAGAAGGTGTCAATTTTCTAACCCTTTCTAATAATTTTTCCTCATTAAAAATGTTGTCACCCTAGACTCATTATAGAATAGATTTTATAATGTAATATATATTTCTAAAAACTGGTGAAGCTATATATTCAGAAGGGAGTAGAAATTAAGGGTGTTGATAATAGGGAGAGAACTGGTTTACCATTTTGAGGAAGAATATGCATAGGATTGTCATTAACAAGATATATATATATTATATACAGGTATATATATAATATATAAGGTATATATATATACACACATATATATATAACAAGGCATACATACACACACACACATATATATCTGCAAATATATTACTTATCCTACATCCTCTTTAAATTTCCCAACTCTTTATACCTCTCTCTTAGCCAGTGATTTCATCTCATTAGTCACAGAGAACATTGAAGGCAGTGGAAACTATCTTTCTACTACCAAGGACACAAGCATAAGCCCATAGTTCCATTAGTCATATTTCCCTCTGGAAAAATGGGGATGAGACATGCAGAATTCCTCATACTCTCAAAGGATTGTCACCCACTTGTAATTCTTTTCCCAATATACCCACTCTGTGCTGCATCAATAATAGCTTTCCTTTCTGTTAGATCATTACTATCAGCTCGAAAATATGACTTGTATTTCTGTAAAAAATTAGCTAACAGAAAAAAAGACAAAAATACTCTCTTAATATCCCATAACTTTCAATTGCCTACCTATTTTTTATTTTAGGTAAGACGGCTCTAAAATATCTGTTCTTTCTCATTCCCCTTCAATGGTTCACTCCATCCTCATCTGTCTTGTGCCATAGTCACTGGATTAAAACTGCTCTTGTCCATGCCACCGAATTCCAGGGAACCAAATCAAATGAACAATTCTACAATTAACATTTTATTTGATCTCTCATCAAGCTATGGTTTAGTTGATTCCTATCTCCCTCAAAAGCCCACTTCTCACAGTTTTCATGATGCTACAGTCCTGGGTTCCTGCCCATCTCTTTGCTATCTCCTCTGCTTCAAATCACTTCTCATGGTCAGGAGCTCTTGGGGGCTTAGTCACTTCCTCTTTTTTCCTCCACACTTGCTCCCAGATAATTTTATTCAGCCGTCTAGTTGATGATTTCTTCCAAATACATATCTCTAGATCACACAGATATTCTAAGATCAAGACCTACATATTCTAACTGGACGTTGACAATATACTTCATGGCTCTTTCAAACCTAATATTTCTAAAATGGATTGTTGATTTTATCATCCCTACCATAGGTGTACCTTCCCTCAGTTTTCCTCAGCTAAGTAAACGGCACCACATTCAACTGCTCAGACTCGACATCTGACTCATTCTCAAAATCATTATTACTTTCAATGTTCCCATGGCATGTCTATCAGTAAGACTGATTGGTTCTACTATCAAAATCTGTTTAAAATAAACAACGTGTCTTTTCACATCCTCTGCCATTATCCTAACAAACCTTTATCATCATTACATTCTAACAAAATAGCATATTAACCATTTTACTTCCTGCCATCCCTGCCATATACAGTATGTTCTACACACTGTAGTTATAATGATTTTTTTCAAAAAATTTCACTCAGATCATGGTATCATATCAAATGGCAACCCACTCCAGTCTTCTTGCCTGGAAAACTTCATGGACAGAGGAGCCTGTTGGCCTAGTTCATGGGGTTGCAGAGAGTCAGTCATGACTGGGCAGCAGGAGCGGCAAAGTTTTCTTTCCATTGCATTTAGAATAATACAAATTTTTAATCATGCATGCAAAGCTCTGAATGGTTTGGCTCCTCCAGGCATGTCTTGTGCTATGCTCCCCTTGCTTATTAAGTTCCAGACATACATGCCTTCTTTCAGGTCCTTGCAGATTCCAAACTGTGTTTCACCTCCTCATAGGTTCTCTTTACCTAAGAAGACCCTAGAGCTCAGTTGAAATGCTACCACCTTAAACAGTCTTCCCAACAACCTCTCATAATGTAGTCCCTTCCATCTAATCTTCCTACGCCTGTTCTCAGAACCTCTATCCAGGCCCCCTGCTTGTTGCCTTCATGGAATTTATCACATTTATTTAAATTTTCTTTCTGGCATATTGTCTAGTCTACCATCAAATGTAATGTCCTTGAGGTCACAGACTGTATGTGTATTGTTTATCATATTACCATCCATATCAAGAGTTTTAATCATCTCAAAATACATGGTCATCAATACCTGTTAGCTAAAATGAAAGTATGAAAGCTTCTATGAAGTAGTTAATATTTCCATCATGTAGAAGAGGAAACTGAGATTTTAATTAAAAAACTTTTTTAGTACCTAACTTTGCTTTCATTTCCTCATCTGTCTCACTTGTTAAGTGAAATGAACTATGACAATTCTAGGAAAGTATGAAAATATTTGAAAAATAAAATGTGTAGGGATTTATAAAAGGTAGAAATGATTAAAAAATTCTGAATCAACATTTATGGCCCCAAAGAAAACAGAAAAGAATGATTTATCAGGGAATCATATAATCTGTTTTAGGCAAGCTAGAATTAAGCTGTTAATACTTAGGCCACCTGATGCGAAGAGCCAACTCACTGGAAAAGACCCTGATGCTGGGAAAAATTGAGGGCAAGAGAAGAAGGGGGTGACAGAGGCTGAGATGGTTGGATGGCATCACGGACTCAACAGACATGAATCTGAGCAAACTCCAGGAGACAGTGAGGGGAAGCCTGGTATGCTGCAGTCCATGGGGTCACAAAGAGTCAGACATAACTTAGGACTGAACAACAATAACAACAATGGTGTTTGGAGTTTACTCAGCTCTTAAATATCAATGGTAACAAAACTAGAATGTCTGCGCTTTCAAACTCAGTAAAAAAACAAATGAAATCAGGAAAAGATACGGATAGATAAGAGTAACCTAAGTGACAGGAAGCTTCAATAAAGAAGAGAAAGGATTATTAGAGAGTAGAAGAAATGAAGAGGTCTGAGAGAAACTCCAGAGTTTGAGTTCCTTGTCTTCTGATTTGATTAATTTCTTTTATGGATTCCAAGGTAACTTTATTTATCCATTATTGTGTGAGAAACACAGGAAGCTTTTTGTCTCCTTCTGTTTCTTTGTTCTGACTTTTCCACACCCACTTGCTTCTCTCTTCCTAACGAATTGTTACCATTATTTAGTTTCCAAGTCAAGAATTTTCCACCCCAGGACATTTTCTGTGACCTCTCTCGCTACTGGAACTGATCACATCTTTGAAAGATTATTGCACTTATGTTCTGTACCACTTATTGGTGCCTTAATTCTATAGGGCTGTGATCCAGTTTATCATAGGTATGTGTTCTGTCTTCCTAAACAGACTGTTAGCTCCTTAAGAATAACGATTGTGATGTAATCTTGATAATCCCCTCAGCATCTAGGGCAGAATTTACCAAAGATTCTCAATAAATATTTTGGTGAAACAAAAGAAGAAACAAAATGCATAGCCAATGCAACAATTCTAATATAGACAATTCTAGATTCAATGGGCATTTGAAATTTGTACAGAAGATGATGAAGGGTACTGAGAATCACCAATGTGGGACTACGTGTGAAAGCCAGAATATAATAAGAGTAGCTTATTTCAGTTGAAATAAGAACTTAGAGGTTCAAAGAGAGCTTTCTGGTCTGAAATAAAACTGCTAGGTTCTTAATCAAAGAATATGTTTCATCAAATACAGCATATATTTTATATGTGAAATCAAATTTGGGTTGACAGAGCTAAATTCATTTCCATTATTATTTTTGTATTCTCTATATGAATTTTTTAAAAGTGATGGCGAATTACATTTAGTTTTATTTTTAGATAGGTGAATCCAAGCTCAGTTAAAGAAAACACGTCTGACATGAGTATGACTCTAAGCCCTGTGTATCCTCTGGAAGCAAGCATTATTTTAAAATACAAGAGAACTGAAAAGCAAGGCCTAGGGTATTTCTGTAAATGGCTTAATGGGGTAGTGTGCTGAAGTGGAACATCTTGGTACACTCAGATGATTCCTTAAAGGCACCATTTTTAAAGAATTTAAGCTCCTATTTATATGCAAGCCATGCCCTCTATCAGGGAAATGGTGCTTATATTTTTTGAGCAGATTTCAAGTAAAATCAATTTTCAAACTACCTAAAACATACATAAAAGTAAATAAAAATTATTACTTTAGAAGGACACATTGCAATATTAAGTAAGGACCATGAATCTAGAATACTGAGACAACAATAAATATCTCAATCTTTAGGCGCTAAACAAATCAAAGACCGGTAGAAAATTTACTGAATCAAGGTATTTCTTCTGTATATTATATTCTTGACATTTTAAAGATTGAGTCCTTCAGATGATTGTGACTTGGTTGTATTCTTAGGAATAAAGTAGAGAAAGAATGTGGTACATAGGATTAAAAAATGGAGAAAGTAAAAAAGAAAAGAAATAGTGTTTAATTCCTCTAAAGTACTCAGGTGGAAATGAAGGAGAAATACATTGAAATAGTATTCCACCATCATTCAACCCATTTTATCAACAGATTAACAAGAAAACAAAAACTTACAAAAGCATCAGATTTTTAGCTATTATGTCATAAGGAAAAACATGATTTCAAGATGACATCATATGAGTAACACTCTATTTGAAAGTCATGACTTTTGGCAGACATTGAAGTTCTTCAAGTAATAAGACACTATCACTTGTACAATCCTTGATGAAAAAACGAAATTCATTTTAGAATAGTTTAATAGTTAATGCTGAAAGAACTTAGAATGCACTGAAGCTATACTCTTGCAAACTTACTTCACAGGAGGAGCCAGTGTACCCGGGTGGACATTGACAAACTTCCACAGCTGTTGCAAAGCTTCCGTCAGTAGGATAGGGGACTGCCGATTCAAGGTTAACAGAGCTCAGCCTGAGCAGAAGGAGAAAGAGACGGCAAGTAAGCAGACAAGCTCCTAGGTGTTACATCTCTTGAGGAATAGTACAGGAACAATGATGCAAATATAAGCACATGTCTATGATGAGAAAGAGACAAATGAATATAACTTAAAGTTCTGGCCATTCATCATATCAGGCAAAGTCAGCCCAGTTAAAAGTGCTCAGAACCAGTACCACAATCAAATGCTGAAAAGATATAAGACCATTCTTGCTCATTTCTTGGTTTTTGGCTATATGTTTTCCCTATTTTTTTTTTTTGAGATAGTTTAAAATCATAGTCGAAGGAATTTTTAAAACAGGAAAGAGTCATATGACTGATTTATTTTTAATAATTAAACTAGAAAAGCAGAGGGACACAATATTCAGTCCAATCTTTTAAATTCAAACAAAAATGGAAGGAAAGGAAAAGAAAGAAGGTAATTATTTTTGTTGCCTTTTCTCAGAAATAAATCTGCATATTAATAGGTAAAAGTGAAACTTTATCAAATGTTCAGTTATATTAGTTAGATCTATTTTCCTAAATTGTTTTAGGCCTCAATTAAATTCACTGCTTTCTATATTTATGAGTTTCATTTTATTGGTACTTCTGTACAGATCTGGTGATTTTAGCAGAGAAATTTGGTATCACTCGGTATTTTGAGAAAACGCTGATTTGGCCAAATTGAAACTGCCATTACATAAACTGGTATATATGTACGTTGTGTGTATGTATTTCTTCCAAAATATGCAACCAATATGCATTCACAATTTAAATAAATGTCATTGACGTCTTATTGGCTTTTCAGTTTTTCTTTTTTTAAAGAAAATACAAAATCTTCATAGTTAAGAACACAAGATCAAGAGCCAGAGAGATCAAGATTCACATGCTGTCTCTGACATTTACCAGTCCCATAGCCTAGGAGAAATGACTTAAAATCTCTAGGTCTCGATTGTCATCTATGTATCAGAGATAATACAAGAGTCCATACATAACGAATTGATTAAAGGATTAAATGAAAGAATGAATGCAAAGTTCTTGATGTAGTACCTAACTCATGTATGTGGTCATAAAATGCTAGGCATTTTATTAACATACATTGACTGTTGAAACCAAATCAAAATAACTACATGAATAATCTACAGGAATATTCCCTGGAAAAGAAAATGACAACCCACTTCCAGTATTCTTGCCTGGAGAATTCCATGGACAGAGGAGCCCTGTGGGATATAGTCCATGGAATCGTAAAGAGTTGGACATGACTGAGCCGCTAACAACAGCAAGACTTGATAATACCTTGGAACATGTGTAAGTTCATACATAATTGAGAAGCTGAAAAGGAAAATCATCTTGAAATCATAGAAAACAAACATTTGGATGGGAAATGCTATAGGTGCTGGGTGCTAGCTGGCATTCTCTAAAGACAAGTGAATTATATCTACCTACAGATTGACTCATTTGACACCATTTTTTGGATGCTTTCTTCTCTGGGGGCACAGTTAAGACAGCTTGGCAGAAGGTTCTAAACTGGCAAGCATTAAAAATCACTGTTTTACAGCATTCAGGTTACATAGAGATTTAAACAAATCTTCAGTCTTTTTCTCCCGCCAAATAAACTTGTATATGAAGTGTCACTGGCACTATTTTTAATTGAGATGAATTTCACATAACATAATCACTTTAAGGTGGCATTTAATACATTCACAGGGTTGTACAACCACCATCTCTGGTTCCAGACATTTTCACTAGCCCCCCCATCCCCCTCCACAATAAAACCCTGTGTCTATCAAGCAGTCACACTCTATTCCACCATTTCCTCCGTTCCTGTCAACCGTGAATCTGCTTCTGTCTCTACGGATTTACCTATTCTGGATATTTCATACAAATGGACATATATAATATATGACTTTTTGGGTCTGACTTCTCTCTGTTGGCATAGTGTTTTCAAGGTTCACCTATGTTGTAGCACATATCAGTATTTCATTTATTTTTATGGTAGTAATATTCTAAAGTCACTCAGTCGTGTCCGACTCTTTGCGACCCCATGGACTGTAGCCTACCAGGCTTCTCTGTCCATGGGATTTTCCAGGCAAGAGTACTGGAGTGGGTTACCATTTCCTTCTCCAGGAGATCTTCCCGACCCAGGGACTGAACCCAGGTCTCTGGCATTGTAGGCAGACGCTTTACCATCTGAGCCACCAGGGAAGTCCAGTGATTTTAGAGACCCCTCTCCCCCCACCAAGTAAAGTCTGTCACTGCTTCCATTGTTTCCCCATCTATTTGCCGTGAAGCGATGGGACCAGATGCTATGATCTTAGTTTTCTGAATGTTGAGCTTTAAGCCAACTTTTTCACTCTCC